TGTGTAAAAGCTTCTGTGTGTACAAGCGTTTGTGTGTAAAAGCAGCTCCTGTGTGTAAAAGGGTATGTGTGTAAAAGTGTCTGTGTGTAAAGGCTTCTGTGTGTAAAAGTGTCTGTGTAGAAGCGTCTGTGTGTAAAAGCTTCTGTATGTAAAAGCTTCTGTGTGTAAAAGCTTCTGTATGTAAAAGCTTCTGTGTGTAAAAGCTTCTGTGGGTAAAAGCTTTGTGTGTAAAAGCGTCTGTGTAAAAGCGTCTGTGTGTAAAAGTGTCTGCGATGCAAACTATTGTCTTGCACTTCTCACTATTTTGTCTTGATACTCCTCTTCTCGACTGCCTATAACACAGCTTTCATATATCGTTTCTAATATTGCGTCTCCATACTAACAAGAGAAGACCCTGCTCCTCTACGCTCTCGGGCCATCCGTCGTCTAGTTTTTTGGGGCATCCGGAGTTTAATTAGTCAATTTGGGACCGTACTGCAAGCAACTGTTTTTTGGGAGCTTGTTGGCAAAAGCCCAGAGGACAGGTTAGTTGTTGGAGAAAAACTGTCAGTCAAGTAGCACCAAGACCCTTGAGTATCTTGAGTTGATTTCAACCTGTCGAAGCTAAGATTTTCTGAGATTTCTTCCAAACGCAGGGATTGTTCGGCACGTGCATTTTTTTTGGTCTCAGCACCTTCTTGTTTGACATCAGGAATACATGGACTATGCCTTCCAAGAGGCCATGCTGGGCCATGATTCAGCTGTCATTGACACTGGCAGACTCTCTCCAGTCGTTGGCCCGCTGGCCCAACCATCAGTGATTCACAGCTGGCCAGGACAACAAGGAACAGCAGAACCTCAAAATCCTGGAGATGGCTCGTATGTGGAAGAAGAGAAAAATTGAAAGCTCGCAGTAGAACGACCCATGCACCAGGACCTGCAAGCTGATGGGAAGTGATGCTGAGTGGTTTGCTAGCAATCATAAGGGGTGTTCTCCGCTATCCTCAAGTAAGTAAAAAATTAGAGATATAGTACTATGATATACTATGATATACTATGATATACTATGATATACTATGATATACTTGGTAGATTTTCTTTACTTTTATAATCTTTTATATACTGTATATCCTTCAAGTATCCTTATTCAATGTTTTTCTTCGATCCCCATTCAGTGGATCTCTGCCTGCACCTGGGCTCCAGGAATTCAGGCGGTGCCGAATCTGAGCGGGGCCTGGGAGCGAAAAAGAGTCTGCGCAGGGGGAGAAAGCATTGGGCATAACGAGAAAGGGGACATAACATAGCAACCCCCAAAGAATACGGGTAAATTACTTTTCTATCTTTTTCGGGTTACTCTAGGCTACAATGACATCTACTAAGAATTAAGAATTGACAGAACTATGGGCAATTTTAGCCAACAAAAACAGGGCTTATTTCAGCACGGGTCTTCAATCAGGATTTCAGCCACATACAGCAGGATTTGACGGACTGACCAACAAACATATAGATATCTCCAAAGGTACAGGAATTTCAGCAGCGAACACGGGAGTGACTTAACCAGACATCTCGCAATCTCAGACTTGTCCGGTGCACCCACACGCCAAGTGCTTGAGGATTCCATTGACACTGGAACAAGCCTCGAATCAGAAACTAGCCGCTTAACACTGTGAATATCATCCTAAAAGAACTCCTGTGGGACTCTTGCGCTATTTCAGACGACCCCGACTTGAACAACTCCTATGGCATCATCAAAAGTCACTCGGAGACCTCATCATTCAAGCACAGCTTGCTGGGCAGCGACATCGGCATTTCCGCTGTTTCTGGTTTCCATCTCAACTTTATTCCTGAAGCTTCGCACAAATATTGACAGCATCATGCATGTAATCTGCCAGAACTTCTTTGAAACGAAATGATCACACCTAAAGCAAGACTTCTGCTTTCTTGTCACAGCCTGCAAGGAGTCCTGGTAGAATGTTCAGAGCTCCACACAGCTACAGATTGTTTGAAAACAGGATGCCCCTAAATCCACTGGTAACGCTTGATCTTCATTTTCTCTCTTAAAGACCCCATTTTCAGACACCCAATTAGCTCAGCCCTGCCATCCGGCTGATCATGCCAGTCCTATATGGTCGAGGTTTCGGACCATGGACATCCATGGACGATGTCCATTGGCATGCCTTTGCGACGTAGTTGGAACATATTGGAACATCCTGATGTAGACCATCATGACCATCTTCAATTCCCAAACAAGGCAGTTCGCTGCATCTTTTCTCTTAACTTTTCAATCCATTTGGGGATACAAACTTCCCCAGTTGAGGGCCCGCCAAGTAAATGACCGGTCGAGTCTAGGCCCTATAACCCTAGACCGCCATAGATTCTGCCGTTGACAGGCTACCTTTGTTGGATCATGGCTGCCTCGGTCAGGACCAAGGATGTTGCAGTGCTTTTTGCTTGGGGGATCGGGGAAATGAGAAAACTGTACGTTTCCTGCTTCCGTTATCTTTAGATGTTAAATTTTGTGCATATCCTGAAGAATGAATAGCCAATAGTCAATAGTCATTCCTTTTTTGCCAAGTGGCCAAATGAGTTTAGAATTTCGAGACATACCCTGAAATTTCTGCTTTTGGCAGACTTTTTCATGGCCAAACGCGGACTGGAAAGCTGTGGCAATGATTCTTCAGAGTAGAGGCCCTTCCGGGTGTCACATATGCGATTCCCGCAAATGCACATGTCTGTGCCTCGAGGATAGAAGCAATTTTCGGATGGGGAACATAAAGGAGACCTTATACATCCCAGGCAAGTTAGAGTTGAATCCAGTTGAATCCAGTGCAAAGCATCAGATCTCATGGCTGAGTACAAAAATCCTGTGCCATCGCATGTGAGTCTGCTGGCAGATGGTCCACACGCGTACTTTGGAACATGGACAGCCTGGCGAATGGAAACAAGGCTGGACTTGGGCCACGCGGCTTCCATTTTTGAAGGTCGCCACGAATGATTTCAACGCAAAAATGGTCTAGTTCTCCAGTAGATTCACCTTGATTCACCGATTCCTGAGGTCGCCCTTGTGGATTTCCATGTTTGAAACCCGGGGTATTGAAACTTTCTGGTCAGAAGTCAGAAGTGGATGATCCCAGTTCCCCAATTTTCTATTGTTCTACGTCCCAAGTTGTTTGGTGATCGGTGAATCCCAGAGATCATCCGAAAATCTCAGTAGCTGCAGCCTTCAGGCATCTCCAAAGGTGACAGATGCTGACAAGAGAGTTCACGAATGTTCACGATCTCAAGAAGCTGTGGCAGGCCAGCTCCTGGAACATCAATCTTTGACCTTTTCGGTGTGAGCCATCATACCTTGCTTGAGGCGGTTGAGACTGGATGTGTATGTTCTCTATGTTCTTTGCATGACATGTGAACAAAGTTTTGGTGGAGCGATGGATTCGGTGATTCGGCGATGGATTCTGCAGAATTTGGGCTCGGACAAGCGGCCTGTGCCCTTCCGACCTTCTGAGGCTGCGGTTCACACTGTTTCGGAGTGTCATCGCTCATATCTTTCCACCACAAGAAGTAAGTGCCAACTAGTGCCATTTGTAGGTTTTAGATGGTTTTAGGTGGAATTGTTTTCATACAGATGGGCAGGGTTGTTTCAACCCATGGCAAATTGTGGCTCTTGGGAGGAAAAAATGCCGCCAGGCTATGGCTGTAGGTCTGCGTGCCTCAAGCAATGCGCTCCGTCAGCTGACCATGAGGCGTCGCCGTTTTTTCAACCACCATGCGTTCCAATCTTGGACCGTGCTGATATGTGCTGATGAAAATCATCCAGAGTGCCCTGATCAAGTAGAAGTTTTAAGTCCAACATTGTCCAACAAGTTATATAGCTCAGTCGCTTTTAAACATTTGGATTGTAATTCATTGGTAGTGGTAAAATGGTCCCCAAACTGGCGGGACAGGTAAAACCAAAGGACATCAAAGGACATATGTAGCAGAGTAGCGAATCCATTTTAGTTATACAATTTCTATCTATTGGGGGGCCACTATCACATCTACTTAACAAACTTCCTGACACTTTCGCTTGGAACCGCACTGACGTTGCTATCGCACTCCAGGACGATTCGGCCTGCGATATCTACACCAGTTTTCAGGCGGGAACGACCGATTCCAGGTGTCAGCTATCGTGCCTTGATCATCTTAGAGCTGAAGAGATTCACCAAGAAACTCCTCAATAATACACAAACTCCCATACACATATATACTACATATATGATCATATATATATATATATATATATCTACGGCATATATATATATATTATGTATATATATATGTATACACACATATATTATGTATATTATATGTATACATACATCTATGTATATGTAGTACGTGTACAGACATATGAATATTATTAATTATTATTATTATTATCACTGGCAGTGTTGAGCATGGTCTCTATTCAAGCAAGAGTCTGTATCAGAAGACTGTATCACCCTGGTGTTCCTAGTACCAGGCTTGCAACGAAGTGCTGCCAAGGAACACAGGACCGAGCGGATGCGCAACTAGCGCAAGAGGTCTATGTGTGATGCCATAGGAAACCACCTTTCCGAAAAATCCAGTGAACGAAAGAGCAGCAAAACTCTGAAGGGTGTCGGAGGTATAGTCAGCTGTTATCACCCGTTGTCATCTTCGATTTGGCAGGACTTCAAGGGTGCCTCGTTTTGGAACGTGCGTAGCTTCCACGTGGGCAAAGAGTCCTTAGAAGACGAGAGTAAGAGTCTTGGGGAATACTAGCAGATTTTTTTTTGGTGACTTTGGTGACTTTGGTGACTTTGGTTTCGCTCATCAAACTAGAAAACTCATATGAACATATCCTCAATTTTTCTAGTCCGCCATTTGACATGCATGAATCTGACGAACCTGTTGCGGCTGATATATCTGAGAAAAGAAAGCCTTAGCTGAATAATACCATCCACTGGATTCCAGTGCAGCTGCCGGCCGTGCAGGGATAATACTACGCTCGTGCACTTCCGGGAGTCGAAAACACCACATCCCTTACTGGCAAAGCCACACCAGCAGGGTAATGCCGAGCCACTTGTCTGCGGGAAGTCGCATTTGTCACATCACAACAGTGAGTTGACCAAAGGGTCCTGGTGGTACTCGTAGGTTGTGATTTCGGTGGCTCGTTTCTTTGAGATACTTCGCTCATGCTCACAAGTCAGGTTCAGCATTTTGACACACTGCAACTTGCGGCGTCGGTTGCGTCAGAATCTGCCGTGTGTTGAGGCTGTCCATCAGCTTAAACCACATTTGGAGCGAGGAAGAGATTCAAGAGCGTTTGGACAATCTGTATCAGCATCGGCCAAAGTCTTTGACCGACAAGATCATGCACCGTAGCTTGTCCAATTGGCATCATCAGGAGCTTCAGCGATGAAGCTTGTGCAAGTACAAATTCCGATTGATGCCGTTTGACCTGCTGTGTGGTCATGTATATGTGTGGACCAAAGTTAGTGACCTCCAGCATTTATGTGTATTTTTATGTTATTTCATTCATACTTGAGATGACCAGTTTTGTTGATATACACACCAATGAGCGGGATATAGCTTCCTGTCCCTGGAACTGCTCCCCTTCTCATTGGATCACAACTGGCCAGGGAGTTGCTTCGATCCAAGGAATCATGTGGAGTCTCTACAGGAGCTTCAACTGGGTGACAGGACTATTTGACTATCTCTCCGAGTTTTCGGATATTCCAAGTGCTGCTGAGTTGACATTGTTATGACTTGTTCTGTTTCAGATGAGCCAATGGGCCAGGATTTAAGCCTGTGAACACTCCAGCAGCTCGGCATGATTTTGGGCTCCAGAATCATGAAACCCGGAGCCTTCAAGTTAGATGTGCCAGGGTGCCATGATCATCATGATCAAAACTGGGGTGAATTGTCATTTTTCTAGAGGATGGTGAATGGTCATCAGTCCATTAATATTTCACAATATCATCAGATTCACATGCCCATTACCAGATATTACCAGGACTCCCATGATGGGATGGATGATCATATTGTATCCCCTGTACAATGTTTTATGTAACCATGGCACATTTGGATTTGAGATGATTTGAGCAGTATTGAGTCAACACTCCAAACTGAAATGGACTGAAGCATTCACTGACGTAAAGGAAGACACAGCGCAACTGATTCGTGAGGTTTCGGTACCCACGGTGCTCCTTTGAATGCTCAGAAACAACACAATGTGTATGTGCACGATGTTGCAAAATATGTATGTACATAAGATACGTATAAATAAATATCGTTTGTACACCCCAGAAATGGATCCTGGCTGGTCAATCAGGGGAGGTTCCCCGCCAAAGTAATACTTTGCTATTAGAGTTGACCCCCGCCCTAGTCACCCAAACCCGCACAATTCGTAGGGTGCGAAAAATACCACCCGTTTTCAATCAAATCCCGAAGTTTTGAAACCTGTCTTGGATTTCACAACCTCTCACCTGATGCTATTGTTTATTAGATGTGGTGGATCTTCAATCACTGCTGCACCACTCTGCGGCCAGCTGGTCTTTGACATCCACGCTCCCAAACGCAACCAGAAACAGACACTATGCTTAGCCAATTCCAAGGGGATCAAACATCAAACCCATCACAAAACACGGGTTGTCACAGGTAAATCATGCATGGGTTAGTGACGGGTTGCTGCCCCAACTCACCGACCCGAAAATTTTCATGTTGGGATTTCATTTTCTTCAAAATAGACGAAATCAGGAGCCTTAAATATTTTGAAAGGCGATAAAAAAAGAAGAAATTCCGTCAAAACAACTGATGGGAGGAGAGGGGGCCCTCTTGGAAGCACACGAGTTTTACACCAAACACGAGGTCAAACTTGATGTTTTCTGAATGTCTCGCGTAAACCCGAGGTTTCACAACAGCCCCGCCAAATTTGCAGGATTTAGGTGCTCAGGATACATAAGATATGTAATGTTATGTAATGTAATGTAGGAATGTAGGTATGTAGGTATGTAGGTATGTATGTATGTAGGTATGTAGTAGGTACGTAGGTATGTAGGTATGTAGGTACGTAGGTACGTAGGTATGTAGGTATGTAGGTATTTAGGTACGTAGGTATGTAGGTATGTAGGTATGTAGGTATGCAGGTATGCAGGTATGTATGTATGTAATGTAATGTAATGTAATGTAATGTAGTGTGATGTAATGTAATGTAGTGCAGTGTAATGTAATGTAATGTAATGTAATGTATGTATATATGTATATATGTATATATATATATACATAATATATACATATATATGTAAATATATGTATATATATATTATATATACATATATACATATGTACATATATATCTATATCTATATCTATATCTATATCTATATCTATATCTATATCTATATATATATATTATAGTATATCATATGATATATTATACATTGTATATTATATATTATATATTATATATTATATATAATACATAATATATAATATATAATATATAATATATAATATATAATATATAACATATTATATATAATAAATAATATATAATATATAATATATAATATATAATATAAACAATATAATATACAGTATAATATAATATAATATAGTATAATATAAACATATTATACATATGTATTTATATGTAATATAATACATATATATTATATATGTATATATATATAATATACATATGTATGTATATATATATATTACATGCACCTTTTGTGTAAATATAGCTGATGATGTACACTATTATATTGTTTACTTAGACTTAGATATATGCAGTTAGATATGTGTCGTGCCAGCAAGAGATTCCCAGGTCAGAGCAGTTGAGTGGCGCTTGATTGTCCTCGAGAGCTTTGCGGGTGTTCCTGGCTTCATGGCAGCCATGTTCAGGTGCTCAGGGGAAGCCTTGGACATGACATTGCCATGGTTGCCTGACATACTCCAGCCTTTAGCATTTCGGGGGAAGATGTTGAAGTATTCTTTGGAATGATGATTGAATCATGAACGGAATGTTGGATCCGGAGAAACGACGATCTCATTGTACTGTTTCTAATTGAGAGCCCGGGTTTATTTCGTAGTCCGACGGACAACTTTGATCTTGATGCCCACATCTCCATTCTGCCAGGCACTTTCGGTGCCTCCGCACCTTGCAGCGAGACCATGGTTGGATCCACACTTTGCCTGGACCTCAGAGCCTTTCATTGAGATGCCTGAGATGCCTGAAATTGCGAAGTGTCACACTGTCTGTCCTCAAACCGGCTAACCCAGGGACTCCAGATTTTGCTTTTATTTGTTCGGGATACCGCAATTTCGTCGACGTTGTCACACTTCGGTCAACTCCGGTGGCAACATTTAGGCTTGAAGAAGCTGAAAATGAACGAATGCATTTGCTGATTTGCATGAAGATGTTCAAGGCCCGGGGAAAGTGTTTTTTCGAAATGAATTCCCCTTCGTCATGAAATATTCTTCCCCAAAATGCAATGTTGTCACAAACGTTTCCTTCGCTTGAACGATTCGGCAAATTTGGCAAATTCTTGGATTCATCAACCTGAAGTCTAATCTCTTGAATCGGAAACCGCAAGTGCAGCAACTATGGAACTAATGCTTTTAGAGATGGCAACAATGGATTTCAGTCACCAGGCCGGTTTCGTGACACGTTGCTTGGTGGGGGACCCAGCCATAGCATGGAATGGGGAGAGTTTTGGAGGCCCCGGATGCCATGATTTCCTGAGGTCATGGGGGCGCAGGTCCTCATGACACCGTTTCTGGCGGCCATCTATGTGGTCAATCCAGGCAGAGATATATCAAGAGTTGCCCTTGGAAAAGGAAGCACAGGATATGCAGCCTTCATCTCAGGTGTCTCGCAGCCCCAGTATGGTTTTCCTGAAATAGACCCAGTAGAGCAGCTCGGGGTTTGTCAAGTTTGGGACCCAGGTTGATTCAGTGATCAAAGGTCCATTGACACAGCGTCGATTGCCAGGAGCTGTGCATCGATTTGTAGGCTATCTCGTGACTTTGGCAGCCATGAGTCTGTGACGGATCCACGCAATGGACAGAATTCTTTGGAGGGATACAGAAGTGAGTCCAAACATCAACATTTCCATACATTTCCCCTCCAAGATCGATTTTGCTATGGAAACATGTGGACACTTTTTTGGTTCGTAATTTCCGAATCCGTTTGCATCGTGCTTGATCTCTTGAGTTCGCTGAAAGTATCCTTGGATCAGGAAGAGACAGCCTGCCTGACATATGCCAACATCATCCACCAGGTCCAGACAAAAGGCCAGGGCAAAATGGTAAAATGGTGGCCCGACCCCAGCTCAACATCCTCGGCCCCCAACTTGGATGGCTTCAACATTCTAAACTTTCTAAACTTTCTAAACCCTCTGGGTTTTAAGATGTTTATTTTTTTTTCAAAGCTTATGCGAAGTTTTCAAATGTTGGTAGCCTGAAATTCCTGCCCTCTTACCCTCTCTGTACTGGAGCTGCTGGAGGCACACCTCTCAATGAGGCCTGGGCACATTTGCGAGCTCCAGGGATTGCAAAGGCCTACTGGAAGCTTTCTGAGGACCCTGAAACGGCCCTGGTGTTGCTGCTGTCACGTAGCACTGAGATGCAGAAATAGATGGACGCAGAAAGGATGTTTCTATTGGAGGGCCAGACCATGTGGATTCAGATCATTCAGGGATTTTGCAGAAGATTTGCGTGCACCGCTCCAGCACTGGTATGTCAGGTTTCCTGCAGTTGCAAGGAACTACCGGCTATATTGTTTCATGAACGTGATGAATGAAGCATCTCTCCTCTTAACACTTGAGAAATTGAAGGACGCGATGTGGATTGATGCCCTCAAGTGCATGTTTGCAGATGAAAGTGCCTTGACGTGCGGCTTATGAGCCATGGTCCCTGGCCTAGCGGCTTTTTCTCCAAGGGATGGACTGTCCTTAGTGGGTGAAGAATTAAGCGCTTGGTACTTCCGAAGTACTTCCCCTTGCGGTTTTATCATGTTGGATAAGATAAGAAAGGGGTTGGGTGCTCCGAATTTTGTGGACAAATCACCATAAATCATCACAATTCCTAGGATTGGTTTGGAGTGAAAGCTTGCAGCACCCCTCCTATATTTCAGGGGCAGAAGGTAAGGTTTCCTGTAGATTTTCTCTTAAACCAATCCATTGAAAAACAGAGATTTAGGCATACCGGGTTGCACTCGCTGCCCTCTCAGGCAACCACCGGGATGTGAATCACACCTTTGCGACCATGAATTCCGATGCACAAGACTCAGACAGTGAAGACCTTCCATTGCAACCCATGGAATCTGGCAGTCATGATCGATTCGACTTGGATCATACTACATTGATGAACTATTTCTGCAAAAGTTGGCAACCCTGGTGTATAAAGTACAAAACAAACACACACACACAAACACACACACAAAAACACACACAAAAACACACACACAAAAACACACACACAAAAACACACAAAAAAACACACAAAAAACACACACAAAAAAACACACACAAAAAAACACACAAAAAAACACACACAAAAAAACACACACAAAAAACACACACAAAAACACACACACAAAAAAACACACACAAAAAAAACACACACAAAAAAACACACACAAAAAAACACACACAAAAAAACACACACAAAAACACACACACAAAAACACACACAAAAAAACACACACAAAAAACACACACAAAAAAACACACACAAACACACACAAACACACACAAACACACACAAACACACACAAACACACACAAACACACACAAACACACACAGACACACACAAACACACACAAACACACACAGACACACACAAACACACACAAACACACACAAACACACACAAACACACACAAACACACACACAAACACACACAAACACACACAAACACACACAAACACACACACAAACACACACAAACACACACAAACACACACAAACACAAACACACACAAACACACACAAACACACACAAACACACACAAACACACACAAACACACACAAACACACACAAACACACACAAACACACACAAACACACACACAAACACACACAAACACACACACAAACACACACACAAACACACACACAAACACACACACAAACACACACACAAACACACACACACAAACACACACACACACACACGCACACGCACACGCACACAAATAAACATACCTTAATACACATCCGACAAAATTATCAGCATTTGAAAGTAGTAGAGAGCTGCCTTCAACTTTGCTTGCCTTCAGAACACCTTCACAACCGATAGGGGACGACCCAGCACCGATACCCCTAGATCCCAACAAGTTCACACAATAATCAATAATCTGCATCAGCAGAGTGTTTATTTGTACAGAAACGACTACGAACAAGGCTGTAAACAGCTATCTCAGCTAGCTTTCCTCTTAAAGAGCACCAAGAATATTGTTTGCGGCAATTCATGCACCATTCCCACCCATACCACAACCGATACTAACCGATACCCAATCTTGCAATTTTCCTCACTTGCCAAGACCATGCCCCACGTACTACACTTGCTCTTACTCTTACTCTTACTCTTACTCTTACTCTTACTCGTCTTACTCTTACTCTTACTTATACTCATACTCATACTCATACTCATCTCCTGCTGCTGCTGCTGCTGTTGCTGTTGCTGCTACTGCTACTCCTACTCCTACCCCTACTCCTACTCCTATCCCTACTCCTACTCCTACTGCTACTACTGCTGCTGCTACTAGCACTACTAGTACTACTAGTGCTACTAGTACTAATAGTGCTACTAGTACTACTAGTACTACTAGTACTACTAGTACTACTAGTACTACTAGTACTACTAGTACTACTAGTACTACTAGTACTACTAGTACTACTAGTACTACTAGGACTACTAGGACTACTAGTACTACTAGTACTATAGTACTACTAGTACTACTAGTACTACTAGTACTACTAGTACTACTAGTACTACTAGTAGTACTAGTATATAGTACTACTAGTACTACTACTACCACTACTACTACCACTACTACTATTCTTACTCCTACTCTGTCTCCTACTCCTATCCCTCCTACTCCTACTCATACTCCTACTCCTGCTCCTCCTCCTCCTGCTGGTGCTGCTGCTGCTGGTGCTGCTGCTGCTGCTGCTGCTGCTACTGACGCTACCGCTCCCGCTACCACTGCCACTGCCACTACAACTCCTACTGCTACTGCTACTGCTACTGCTGCTGCTGGTCCTGCTACTGATACTGCTTCTGCTCCTTGTACTACTAATACTTCTACGACGACAACGACGACGACGACTACTACTACTACTATTACTACTACTACTACTACTACTTCTACTTCTACTTCTACTTCTACTTCTACTTCTACTTCTACTTCTACTACTACTACTACTAGTACTAGTACTAGTACTACTAGTATTAGTACTAGTACTAGTTCTAGCATCAGTAGAAGCATTTGCTGCGGAACGTTATCAAAGAGCGAAAATCTTCACAACGGATAGGGGACGACCCAGTTTTGCTCGTGGCAATTAAGGGGAAGAACTAATTTTGTCCGATTCTTAATATGCTTACATATTATATATACAGATATATACGATATATATATATACATATTATATAGTAGATCTAATGGATATAGCAATGATTATTAACAATGTAGATATACAGACATATGATATTGTAAGCAGGTGAGTGATCACATAATACAAAACAATCAAGCAAAGGCACAACACAAGTACAACAAAGACACAAATATCACCAAACAAACGCATATACATATGCAAATAACCAAACACACACACAGACACGCGCACATCTATCTATCTCACATGTGTATATATATACATATGTATATGTATATGTCTATGTATATGTCTATGTATATTATGTATATGTATTTGTATATGTATAATGTATATGTATAATGTATAATGTATAATGTATAATGCATAATGTATAATGTATAATGTATATGTATATGTATATGTATTTGTATATGTATATGTATATGTATATGTATTTGTATATGTATATGTATATGTATTTGTATATGTATATGTATATGTATATGTATAATGTATATGTATATGTATAATGTATATGTATATGTATATGTATTATAATGTATAATGTATAATGTATAATGCATATGTATATGTATATGTATATGTATTTGTATATGTATATGTATATGTATATGTATTTGTATATGTATATGTATATGTATTTGTATATGTATATGTATATGTATATGTATTTGTATATGTATATGTATATGTATATGTATTTGTATATGTATATGTATATGTATATGTATACACATGTGGTTCCAGTCAGGCTCTTTACTGGGAACTTGGGGATTCTTGGAAAACCTTGGAACCGGATTGGCAGGGAACCTTTCCAAAGACTTCCAACACAGTCCCTTCAAGACTTGGTCACCGCTAAGCTCAGCTCCATATCCCTGTTTCTTAAGAAAATTTTGCGCTAACAATGTATCGTTTTAAAGTACATTCAAATATTCTTACTTCCCAGCAACTTCATTTTCATGCTTCCCCAAAACGAGCGTGAGGCCATACAAATGTGTATTATATATATAATATATATATCATTTTAAATTGTAATATGAATATGTATGTATATATATATACATATATGATATACATATACATCTACATACTTGCATACACACTGTAGCTTGCCCTACCCTCCTTTCTCCTCGAGGACCCCAATCCCTTCGTGTCGAAGCACCGGAAAGACGCCGCAGTGGCCTGGCGCTTGGACTCCCAGGGCCTTTCTGCCGATGTAGGCGGGCCCGGACAACCTGGGGGTAACAGGGGAGCAATGGCCAAAGCCCAAAGATGATCTTGGAGAAGTTGGTTTTTCCGAACATTTTCAGTCAAAGCTGTGTTTGAATGCACTGGATGTCAGTGGAAAGCACGGGAAATATTGGGAAAACTTGGGATGCCCCAAAAAACATCCAAACGAATCAAAGTGGTCGATCTATGGAAAGCATTGGTTTGAGACTTATCTATATGTGTATATATATGTATACCTTTTTTGCACGTGCCAAGTGGATCACTGGATGTTTGCGAATGGATCAACTCGCTTAGAATCACAGCTGCCAAGTTTCTGCCACAGGCTGTCACAAGACATTGGAAGTGAAGAAAAAGGAGTGAACGCGCGGTCGATGAGCCCCCTTCAGGGCTTGGACAGAAGATGACAGAAGTGACCTCGTCAGGTGACTTGAAGCTGTACACATTTTCATGTTGCGGAGCTTGGAAGTGCTTGGAAGTGCCAGTGGAACCACGGGAGCTTTACATCCTTTTCAGAATGATCTTGGACGTTTCTCCTGTTGAATCTTTCTGACAAATTGTAACTGGTGGAGGGTGGCCAGTTTCTCCAAGCTTTGCCATGACTGCATCTCTTCGGCTTGTGCTGGTCATAACGCTGCGGATGTCAGCAGCATCAGTTCTAACAAATACATAAGGCTGTTCACAAAACCATGATATATTCGTTTTTGTTGATCTCTTTCAAACTAATTTCTATGTGTAGCTGCGGAGCGCCAGAAGCATTCCAATTGCAATACTTGATTCCTCAGATGCTACAATGCTGCTCACATGGGCTATAGAAGAGCATCCCCCGAGTTGAGGACGGCAAAGGCTTGTCAAGATCGCTGTCCACAGAACGGAATGGCACGTGCCCTTCGATTTCGCTTGCCCCTAGCCTCAAACCAGGCATGGCAATTGCATGGTGTACTATCGGCCCGACTGTACAGTGCACCGTTTGCGTTTTTTTGCCTCTCAAGGCTGCGTGGGGTAGCCAAGCTGCGGAGTAATTTGCTCAGCGGATTACAAGGGGTGTATAGATTTGTAAAACCATCGGTAGATTCTCCAGGGGTCTAGCATGAGAGTCCGGTGGGTTGCTTACATCAAGGTGACGCCTTTAACCTGCCTGCTCTTTCCTGCAATGGCTGAGCCGACCCAAGCTTGTGCAGCTTCGCCTACACCACGCAATGGCATGAGCCGGCAACTAACCATTATGCAATTGTGCCTGTGAGGGACAGAGACAAAAGAGGGGCTGAGTGACCTTGCACTTCACATGTTTATTCCGATCTTTCAGTGTTCTCCTTCACATTTTTCTTATGAGGTCGAAAGCAGGGTATTCCCAAATAGTGACTTCGGGGGGTCACCAAGTTTGGAAAATCTCAGTTTTGATGTGGTTTGATGGTCTTCCTTCCCAGCTCCAGCCTGTCCAGCCTGTCCAGTATCCCACGCTCCTTTCATCATCCAAATCCTGGAAACTGTATTGACCAATGTCAACCCAGGATGAAAATTTTGGGAGTTTCACCCTCAAAATTGGTACATCCCCCTATCAGCTTGGGGTTGTGAATTCTTTTTTATTATAACATGATACCAATCAAGAACCCACTTGAGAATATCACTGGCTGAAAGTTGGAGTTTTTCTCTGAGCAATGCCACTGGCTGGGCAGGGCAGCTCACCGAGCCAGTGGTTGGCGGAAGCGCTAACCAAGGCGCAGAGTGTTGAGGGGTTGAGACCAACAGCTTCGCCGTACCATTGGCATAACAAGAATGCACCAGACCGAAGTATTATAAGGCTCCGCCACTGCCGCCGGCCCCTGGGCCAGAAAGCTTGGGGGCGCGGTGGGGGCGGAAATCTGGGAAAAGCTTTCGTCATGTTGATTGTGAGGTTTTGGAGCTGGGGAACTTAGCGCTCCGGAGGAACTATTCGACAGTGTGAATGTGCATCTGTGTCTTCCCTCTGTGGTAGACTGGTAGACGTAGAAATGAGAAGTTGTGAGGCGAGGTATGAATTGAGTCATTGAAAGCAGAAGTTTCATTGTGTAGGTGGCAGGAAGACGTTTTGTAGGGATAGTGCAGGTAACCAGGGGTTATTGCGTAGCCATGCCGTGATCGTGCATCGCATGCAGTCGCGGTGTGGCCGGATCGTCGGCTGGCGGCTTTCACTGCCTAACGTTGCTTTCTGAACCGACAAGGAATTAGCTCTAAACAGGCTTCCAACAGCAGCCCAAAAACACCCAAAACGATGCCCCCGCTTAGCCCCATGCTACTGGAGGACGGACCTGGTGGCCGGCTCTGCTCTTGCATCTTGCTTTCTGCCTCCATTCTAGCTTGCGCTTGCAGCATGCTTTCTTCTCGCATCTTGCTTCTAACTTCTACAGCTCGCTTTTTCTTTCCTTGTCTTGCTTGCGCTTTCTTCTTGCTTGCTAGTTTCTTTCTCTTGCAGTTTGCTTTCTTCTTTATATTTTTTCTTTCGTCTGCTTCTTTCTCTAGCAGCTTTGTTTCTTCTTCTTCTTTCTTCTTCCTGCTTGCTCGCTTCTTGCTCTTGCAGCATGCTGCTTGTAATCTCTTCTCTAACGCGCTCCCCCTTGCTGTCGGCAGGGGTCGGCGGATTTCTTCCCCCCCAGAGTCTCTGATCATGCACCGTCCAAATTCGACTCATCAAGGCCTCCAACCCTGGCCTGCAAGAAGTTTCGTGGATGTTCTCACGTTATGCAACTGCTTTGCAGGCTGGAACCTTAGTCCAAGATGTTTGATCAAGCGCTGGGTCGTTTTTGGGGCAACCAATAAAGCTTACCTCCTGAGGTAACACGGCGCTTTACGAAGAGGATGCAGCGGCTGAAGGATTGAATCTGTAACGTTTAGGGATGTTTGGGGTATTTATACAGGGTTGATTCATCATGATTCACCTGATCTTTTGTAACATCTCGGAATACTCTTGCGACACCTATCCCAGACCAAACCACGACATGACTGGGTTTTTCAAGCTCTGAAGGATGCTTGATGCTTTGACTAGTGGAGTTCCAACGCAATTTTTGTCGACTGTTAATCAACCAACATTTTCTACATGACCAAACTATACTACGCGTCGGGGGTTTTGAACGACCGCTTTAGCCCTTTGTGTCTTTCTGTCAGTATATTTTCTCAAGTTTGCGACCTTTGTTCACGATTGTAGTCTGTCCTGCGGGCCGAGCATGCGCGAAGTGGTGTTGGCACCACCGGTAAAAAAAACATATTATCATCATTTACTGAATTCTCATACTATCGGATCTATCGGATCTATTGGCAGACCCTGGCCTCGCATAATCCTGGTGGTGAAAGGGTCTCAAAGAGTCTTAAGTCGAAGCTTCCGGCGGAAGTCAGAAATGAAAGGATCCAGTTGCACCCACTTGTTCTGTGTTAGCTATTGATGCATCAAGACTTGCTTCATTTGTAAAGAGAAGCGTAAAATCATGTGAAATCACGTGGAACATATTCAAGAACTATTCTCCTTGTTTGCTCCGGTGGTCAGTGGTCACATTTTCGATCCCTTACTCTTCGCATGAATGCTTCATTTCATTTTATTGCGGGGCATAAACTTGGTTCGCCTGCCAACATTTTTGACACGAAAAAACACGCAAAACAATGCTATAGTTACACAGTGTGCACTGTTTTTCTTCATTGCAAGTTATAGCAGAAAACGAACCACATAGATACCATCGCTGTGGCTCAAACGCCCGAAGCTAGCTTTGGCTGAAACACTGCCGCTAGACAGTCGCACAAATATGCTTTTGGCTTGGGAAAGTGAACAAGATACCGCTATCTTCAGGGTTTGACAGAGTTCGTTCTGCACTTTAACTCACTCGCAGTAATTTTGTCCAACTCACTCCAATTTACGCGCCCCAAATCACTCCGCCTCCCATGCTCGACCTCACTGATTCCTTTCCATGTTCCCCCTTGCATCTCGCTTCGAATCACTTGACTTACCAACCTTTGGGGCTCAAGTCTCATTCCGAATTCTGTTGGTTGGATCACCCTTTTCAGATCTCTTCAGCATGTTTCTTGTCATCAACTTGTCCCCGAGTGTTGCAGGAGTTCAAGCGATGCCGACATCAACAGGGCCTGGGAGCAAAAGAACGGTGCTGAAAGATTGCCAAGACTGGGGGTCCGACATTGGGGAGATGCGGGTGAGAAAGGGGAAGAACATGGTACAACATGTATAACATGGTATGGCACGGAATAGCTGCGCAAGCACTTGTATGCCAACAATGCGACCAGACCAATACCACGTAAAAGTTTATAGTTTATAGATTGATCTGCCAACGGCGTCGCAAAAAATGTGCGGTGATACCAATTCTCACCGTTTCTGTAGCCTGAAACATCTTCAGTGCTGTTGATATAGGTTGGAAAGCGGCACAAACCCACTGGCAGTAGCTTCAAATCTACCAGCAGGAGAGACTGTGAGCAGGATATTTTCGCTCTAGCAATTTTACGATGTGGGGTTCTCAAGCTCAACCACAGAGAATAGTCCCGTGGGATCTTGTGGGTATGAGCCCCATGATCTATCACCAAACAATATCAAACAATGCATTTCATTTCAGATTCTGCACAAACCCTGTAAGAGTTTCGATTCCACAATTCCAAGGCCACTGCGCTCCATCACTGCAGGGCTGGTTTCGCATCTGATACTCTTTTTGACTGTCCTTGTACAGCCTCCCAATGCAACACGTGCTTGTACAACATTCCACATGGCTGGAATCATGAGCAGAATCAGGTGACAAGAAGCTAAGAAGCCTTTGCTGCATTTGCGTGACGTAAAGAAAACAACTCCCTTGTCCCAACACTCAGAGATTTGATGAGGTGTCATAACCCTGCAAACCTGCACGCCGACAAGGATATTTGCGTTTTCAGCTTTCATCTCAAGGCTTGTTGTAGATTGATGTGAAGGACTTCAGTTTCACGGAAGATGAGAGCTTATGCGTACAACTAACAGTTGAACGCCGCGTGCCCAAAATAGAAACGGTTGCTCAGTGTCAGGAATTTCGTTTTATTGGTGGGAGACACATACAATCACATACATGTTCATACCTCATTCAATGACTCATACAAGAAAGAAATTCAGGGGTCTTAGAACAGGGAGAGTCCGTGCCATTCATTTGCAGTCGAGCCCCGACCGCGGGGCTGCGCGACCGTCCAGTGACGCGTTGAGCAGCATGCGATGTCAGCGGTTTTGCCTCGTCCGGCGAGTTTCCCGCACCATGGACATCCAAGGATGATGGATTTCAAGTTTGGACTCGTAAGCCTCTAGAATCCGCAATTCTATAGTCTTTGACTTTTAGAGTGTGGCCAAGACAACCCGTCACCCATTAATTAGGCCTCTCCGCTCACTGCCAGGCTACCTTTGTTGCCCATCCTCACAGCTGCCTCGGTCTTGAGTTCCAGTAGGCCGAGTCGCGGAGAGTTGGAACATGTTGGAACCTGTTGGAAAAACCCAGCAA